CTCGTTACATGGCACGTAAATAGCCTCTCGGTAAAGATCATGGCCCGGGGAAGGCTCTGCCCCCCCCCCCGGATCGCACCAGGGGGGGCGCGAGCCCCAATGCCCCCCCCCCCCCTGCAGTCAACGCCTATATGTTTGTCTGAATGAATCATGCACACCATGGAAGCCCATATTTACGGTAGGGTCCATCGTTTCGCATATGCTTCATCACGCGCCTTTCATTACCAACGAAAAGTCGACACTGTATGTTTTATCGACACCGCACCCCCGAGCCCCGCGACCGTTGTAGTGCGCATCGGACGGTCGCGGCGGCAATTAAGTTCAGCTTCCAAACAGACCGCGCGGCTATGCTTTACTTTGCTTTACTTCGCTCAAAGGTTAAATAGTCGGGGGAATGGGCCACCGCCTAGCTGAATAAGCAGCCCAAAGTCCAGGAGGCTCCGCAACTTTGCATGCTACAAAATAGGCGACTTGAGGCTATGTTGCGAAAAAAAAGCTGTCGTTGAATCTCGCGTATGATATATATGATGGGCGGCAGCCGTGTGGTCAATAGGTTGATGTGAACTTTTTTATTAAGGGGAAAGTATATGTCTCATCGTTCAGTAGACCTTCAAAGTTATTGAGCGAAAACACATAGTCACGAAAGGTACAAAAAACCGGCAACACGAAAGGTAGAAGACCCACATTACTCAGTATTCAGCTGCACCAGAACCCTTTTTGACCAGGCCATTTGTTAGCGAAGGAGCGTCGCAGGCGTTGTAGACTCAATGGACCTTTTGTAGAAACATCGGTTCGAGAGTAAATGGTTCCAGTACCCTCTCTCTCTTCCTTCTGGCCGAGCAGAGAGGGAAGATGGTTTCGTTGTGTCGACTTCGGGGCGGAAGATTATGCACGATGGGGACAAAGGCGAGTTTGGGGGAGCCGTACCTAGGTCACAGCGCCCCAATGGGTGAACACAGTGTAGCCAACGCTTTGGGTGTGAAACGGGTGGGAGAGGCCTTGCGCGCGCGTTGTTTTCTCGACACTTAGCCTCGAACCCAGTCGTGGCTAAGCTAAACTTCGCGTGAATCATCTGACATGTGGCGATTCATTCCACGTGGACGCCGCAGAATGTACGCTAAAGCCTGATTCACATGATGATATTTCGCTCGCAATTTTCAGTAGCGACGTCGCTCGGACTGCAAAAGCGTGAACCGTAGCTGGAATGTCGACGTAAAACTGAAAATCGCAAGCAGAATCTAACCAAGTGAATCAGGCATAACAATGGCCACTGGTAACAATGATCAACATCTCCTTGTATCTACTGTTTACGTCCAGCCTGCTTACCAACCTTCAAACTTAAGTCTTTTGAGGCCTGCACTTACTTCTTATCGCAAGTAACAGGCCCATGTTTCGTCTACGGGCCGGCGTCGTCTAAAAGAGCAGACGACAAGCAGAAACGTTTGAAAGAGCAGACGACAGTTTGAACGATCAGGCGGCCGTTTGAACTTGAAGACGCACTGAACGTAGTCCGCAGGTGGTCCGTACAACTTGACGATTTTCCGGCGCTCATTTTGAAACAAAACAAATGAATTTGATGACCAGAAGTATCCGTGAATTCAACCCAAAATGCCTCCCGCCCAAGCTATCGTGGTCCGACGGCGTCTGGTTTTCCCTTTTCACGGCACATATCTGCGTTCTCGGACGAACCGAGCACATGAAAAATGACCTTCAAATCTTTCTCGACACTTTTGGTACAGCCCCAGTCGCAGCATTTTGACGAGAAGGCAGGTTTCTGTCTGGTTCCTTTCAAAACAACGCAGGAATACACGTCTCACATGAGCACTTCCGCCCACAGCCCCGGACCGGAAGTGCGTCCGACCAATACCACCTAGAACACAAGGCCTGCGCGTTTCCTCCTCTAAACGTCATCACTAGTAGATCCCCTCAGCGCCCCCTAGCTAGCCCGGATGAGCAACATCGTCTGCTACATCGTCTGCTCCATCGCCTGCTTCAGTGGTTTGTGTAACAGATAATGAAACAGATGCTCACGCCGAATGTCTCTTGCAAATAGCATACGATGAAGTTAGACGTTCACGTAAAGCGTCAAATGCATGAGCGAAATTGCCTTACTGCTGCGCGAAGGGCTGAAAAGCCTTTCGTTGGACGCGGGACGCTGACACTGGACGCCATTTTCGAGGGCGCTGTTTATAACTCGGGTAGCTGCTTCGAAGCGTTCTACCGCAGAACGAGAGCGCGCGCTAGAAATGCGCGTCTCAAAGCCAGGAGCGCGTGCTAGCTCGCGCTCCTGGCCGAGGGAGCGTTCGCGTGCACGTCGCAAATGCACTGGAAGCTCGCTATCAACTCGCGCTCAGCAGTCACGCACACAGCTGCGGCCGCAAGTGAATGCGACGTAGTCAACGTAGTTGCGACGCGGCCGACGCAGCCCGTACTCTCGTCAAGCTTCGGGCTGTTTGCCGCTTGGGGCGGGTCGGGGATCTACTAACGAAACGTCATGCGCAGGCCTTGTCTTCTAGGTGGTATTGGTCCGACGCGCCACCACTGCGGCGTGACGTAACAGAGATGAGTTGCTTTACACACGCGCCAAATTACAGCCGCCATTGCTGACCTTCTCTAGTCTTACTGAGATGCCGAGCAACTGAAACGGTAGTTGACGATCCTCTACAAAGGCCGATGCTTTAGAAAAGGACACAGTTGAGTCCAATATGAAAATAACCTGGCCTGCTATTGTAATGATGATGTTAAATAAACGAAATAAGAGGAAACAAAAACTGAAGGTCAGTTATGGCGGCGTCCATGCACAGCTGCTTGTACGGGCTCAGCTTGCGCCACCTAGCCTAACATTTTGTCATTCCTTCTATTTTTTTTTTTAATTTGAATGCATTTAGTTATAACAGATCCCCCTCTTTTAAATTAAATTTATTGCCTATTTTTATACGTATTTTTTTTTATCCTTCCCTAGATTTTTTTTACCAATCTTCCAATTTCCTCTTAGTTACCGCCAGCTTCTTTATATGCAGTGTTGACACTTGATTAATTTCTGTCAAAAATGTTCCCAATCAAGTTTATACGCAGTGTTTGACACTCGACAATCCGTTCATTTTAACTCTACTTTACATTTTGAAAAAGCAACTGAGTCTTCAAAAGCTTTGAATCCAAATCCAAATCCAGGTGTTTCATGCGTCTTGTTACCTTGGCAGCCACGCCCATCCTCGTGGAGTGTTTTCGAGGTTTTTGATATTTAGGTAGGTTTCACTCGATTTTGCGAGAACGGAAAAATAAGCGGCGTCCATAAGGCCTTATTTAGGAACTGCAATCCTTCGAATGTGGCCGACTTCGAGCGTAGGACGGTGTACAAGGTGTTTTGGAGGCTATTACGACGCCGAGACCCTCAAACTGACGGGTGAGTGTGTATTTTTACCATCCCAAAGTGCGACGTAGCCACAAGCAATCGCCGTTTTCTTTAATTTTTATTGCGACTGTGGTTAAAATGGAGTATTGTGGACTGTGCTTATTTGGGGCACCAAGCTAGGCAGATGAATGCATGGGCTGTCTAAAACTTCAGTTGAAAACGTGTGGACTTAACTGCCTTGCACGTGACATCATATGGGCACAGCGGCCTTAACTGCCTTGCACAGATATATCATATGAGCGCAGCAACTAAACGGAGCATAGCGTACGGTGTCGCAACACGCCGAAACTGTCGACGAGCTGTATGAGCCACTTCAGACCGCATGTTTATGACGAATCCAGCATCTCGAGGATGCCGAAATTATTTTGAAGATAAATTTATTAAGGGCTCTGTAAAACAGCAGAGTAAAAGAAAAAAAAAATTCGCGGCGACGTTAGGAAATTTTCACGAATGTTTCCATATTTCTGAATGCTCTGAAGACTCGCTTCGACCACTTATGCTGAATGTTACTTTGACCGATCTATTTATTGGCCATGCATGTTGTTCAGATTTAAATGAAAGACAACGTTCTTGAACTCGCTTGTCAAATCAAGAAACTCTCAAACTTGTCAGATATCTTGGGTTTCCGTCTTGCAGCGCGAGATGGAACCTGTCGATGGGCTACTCCCATACTGGCGCACCACCGTTTAATGAATAGCACATTATTAGTTTTCAGGCGAGATGCATGAACAAACCTTTTCCGCAACGTTTTCGCTTTCCAATCGAAGTATCTTATTTGCAAGGCTGTGCATTCTACAAAGGGCAGCGATACGACGGTCTTCTCATCCCGACAACTTTTCTGTCGCTGTACTATCATGACGCTACTGTTCGATAGATTAATTTGTTTTCAGGCGAGATTCAGGAACAAACCTTTTCCGTAATGCCAAATGCTGTCTTGGCTTTCAAATCAAATCATAATTATTTGCTGGATTAAGCTTTCTTCAACTGAAAAGAGGCAGCGGTCCACTGCACTCCTCGTCTTGACAACGTTTCTGTCAGCGCGAAGAAGTCACTTGCATTTCGAGAGATACTCGGTGCAGGAAGAGCGCGCTCGAGTGTCGGTCTCTGGTGGCGCTTCTTTCCATTTAATGAATAGAGCGCCAAACTCTTGCGCTCCGCAGCACAAACTTAACGTGCACAATCGTGGCTGATTCAACGTCATTCCATGCAAGTCATTTAATACATGGCTTGCATTGATGTTGCATCAGCTGCCATTGCTTCCTAACCAATTTATTTATTCATGATCACAAATGTACCTACTAGGAACCCAAGAGGAAATGGCAACTGAGCTGGCCAGGCGGGAACATGCAGCTGAGGCATCTGCAAGTTCACTCAAAGCTGCACCTCCCAAAAAGGTCAGCCCTTGTGCCCTCTAATGCAAAGTGTTTTTTTGCGGAAATTGGTTCACCAGAATATGTAATGTCACCTGTCTATGTAAATGTGGTGCAGCCTATTTTGCTGGGAGTGACCGAAAGCTAAATCTTAGCGCTAAATAAATTTTTAGTTGCGGTCTATGTCAGGACAGAAGCTGAAAGTGACGATATTGCGGGGCTCTCAAAAGCAGCGCCAGCCACATAGGGCTAGCAGCGACCAAAACGGGCACACAACTGACCGGTCCAACTGATGCAGAACGAGAGCCGATCATGCACAAAATGTGAGTGTTGAAAGCAGCTTGGGAATCCCAACACTAAGCGTAATGTCATGCCGAGTCCTTAACATTTATACTTCCTTGGGATTGCTCTGTTTCACCACTCACGCAAAGCTTTGCAGTTTACCAAGCCTTCTCTATTTCCTAAAGGCCACTAAAGCAGTCGGGAGTTACAAGGGTGACCAAAGAATCAACTGAATCACAAGAAATAGCACAAGGACCCAATTTGACACCCGCAACAATGTGTTGTCATGATTTGTTGATGAGGAATGTTGTGCTTTCTGCCTACACCCCAATGTGCCTGAGTACTGCTGCTAGGGGGCACACATGCATAGCTGCTAGAAACACCTTTCTCTGACCCACCCTGCTCTATCAATTGCAGGACTATACTGCAGCCCAGCTTCCAGTTGATGCGGGAGGCACTATAGGGCCCTACTGCCTAACACGTAAGTCATTTATGGCCTTACCTTTGAGTACTCGTATGTTTACCATACTAACAGAACCCATGCTTTAGCATTGAAAAGGGAACTTTTTTAATGTGCCTGCAATATATGAAAGAAGTTCACTGTGCGGTGATAGAGCCAAACATGTCATATTGTCACGAATGACAAGTGATGAGGCGATAATAACTGAAAAAACGAAACGTTTCATGGGGCGAACTTGTCCCCAAAACTAAAAGGGAACGGAAGATAACAGCAGAGCGTCGCGGGCGTCGAAGTCGGCGTGACAGCAGAGTCGAACGCTGGGGCGAAACTGACTGCGGCTTGCCACGCAGAGCCCCTTTTGTACATGCGTGGGCCTCTCGAACAATCGGCGTAGAAGGTTCGCGCATAGAACATTCTAACCTCGAACATGCAACAGAGTTCTCGAATTTACCAGAACAGTAAATTGCAAGAATATAAAAGATGTGTCGCGTCCAAGAATCGAACCCTGGCTCTTCGCGTGTGAGGCAAGCACGATAACCGTCAGGCCACGGCCGTGCTGCCCACTTGGCCAGCTATGCGTGCAGCAATATGCAACACGTCATCACTTATATCTTGCATAGAGGATATTTATTCATAAAGGGTGGAAAAAAATAATTCTGAGAAAGAAGGCATAAACGGCAAAGAGCTCTCACTCTACTGTTGTGGCTGCGCTCTGTTGCTGAGCAGGATGGCCGAGGAATGTCCTTCCAACGCCATGACTACGTAGCAAGTTCCCCAATGTTGCTAGATGACCTCCCAGATAGGCTCCACACGCATCCACCAGGTGCACATTGACAGATTGTATAATTAGCTTTAAAATTAGTTTGCTTTTGCCTTTCAACGAAAGACTGGTATTTTTGAGGTTATGTTGCAACATGCAACACATTAAAGCTAAAACCTGAGCGCTGGAATTTGGTTTCTGTACTCCTTTAATGTGAAATTGTTTTTCAGTTGCTGACGAGGACACCCTTGCAAAGAATGAGATTGTGGATCCTACCATCGGCCTCCAGAATAAGGATGGAATGGTAAAATAAAAATTTTTTCACTTTCATGCAGTGTATGATATACATTAAAAGTTTTTAGGATAGTGCAGGGGTGGCCAGAGTGACATTGAGTTAGAGCCGCGGGAAAAAAAGAAAGGGGGGGGGGGGCAATTTTTAACAAGAAACGATATGGAGCAAACAGTTCTTTCCAAAGAGGAGAAGTATAATTGGCGACTACAACAAATAACACTAGGTATCAGGAGGTCTTTTCCACCGCTAAGCAAAAATTAATACAAGATTCACTAGCCAGTCACTGCCCCTGACAACCATTATGCGTATACGGTTGAAAGTCTTTTTAGAACAACTTAGAAAACAGGGTCACTGGACGCATCTGTGGCAAAAACCATTCAAGCTGTATGTATTTAGTGTGTTGCAAGGCGGCCAAGGCTGTGAGCTCTTTTTAAATTCTAGAACTCTTTTCGTCTAGGGGACACGCGTCATAGGGACAAGTTTTCCAGGGAGCCGCGAGCCGCACTTGGACTCGCAAAGAGCCACGTGCGGTTCGCGAGCCTCAGTTTGGCCACTCCTGGGATAGTGTAAGCACATTAAATTTAATCGATTGCAACCAGAAGTCATTAAAGCATTATTGTTGCCGAGCTCTGAATTGTAGTTATAGCCAGGGCCTGGAAAACATTCTATAGTCACGCTCACCTGATGCAACTAAGGGATTACGTACCTGTTTCATGCAAATGCAATGAAGCTTTGTAGGCCCATCAGCTTTGCAGATGCCCACGAAGATAGGAATTCATAGGTAGTGCTGTTTTAAATTTAAAGGCCTAAATTCCATGCATGTAATTATTTTAGTGCATTTTAAATGCATCTTGGAGTAAACAGTACCACTCTGCATCAACGATTGGTATGTGTGAAGCTGTTTCTCGCTTTTGTTTATCCATGTCAGACAAGGTGTGCACGTCAACCAGGAATCCGGGCAACATGCAGAAGGCAGAGTGCGACTCCATGTTTTGCAAGATTGCTGCTGCTCCCATACGGCCAGTGGAAGTGCTTTTGGAGAGGTTGGTGACCGGCACCCTCTCCAACAAGGCAAAGGCAGCGGGGCAAGAGAAGGTGTTTGCCTCACTCACTCCTCACAAGGTGCAGGCTCTCTCATTAAGCAAACATTTTGTTTAAAAGCTTGATACGAATCTCGCGTAGTCGTGTAAAATATTTCATGTTAAATTCGCATCAATGAAGCAAAACAAAATTTATATTTTGAAGCACAAAGAATGCATGAATGTGCATTTATTTATGACAGAAATATCTTGTACGCAATTTGCACGATTCTAACATGTCCCCGATAGTAACACGCAGTTATATTCAACCCACGAATGTTAAAAAATTAATTAATGCCGATTCTACCGCGCAGATAAAATAATGACGGCTGAACAACATACATTTCGTGAAAAGCATTTTATCAAATGCACATACTGGGGAAGTCCACACACTAAGTGCTGGTGAAGCCCTACATCGAAAACTTGCGAGCGAAAATTCGGTTCTTTTGTCTTTCCAACCAAGCTCGCATGTCACTGTGGACCACACCGAACACACCACCAGCATCACTTTGTTTTCTGTTTTTGCCTACGCAATTTCTTTTTTTTTAGAGGTAACCTTATAGTAAAATCGGTTTTGCTTCACCAAGGTTCAAACACCATTCCACAAAATCGCAAAAACGAAACAGTGAATTTGGATTCAGGTTGCATTGGACTTGAAACACGTGTTGGTGGTGATGGGGCTGGCCACTTAGCAGAGTTTTTTTAGCATTTTGTTTAGTTTTGGTTTTTGGGTCCGATTCTAACACATGTAATTTTGAGCTCAAGTCTTTGGGTAAACAAAGTATGGCTGATCCCTGGCAGCAGCAGGCAATCAGCCGCTTGGAGCCTTGGGAGCTTACAGTCGCAGATCGTGGCCTCCTCGCCACCGTAGGTTGTGGAGCACGCATTCGTATCAGCCATCGCAGCGCGTCGAGGTATTCGGAACATTAAAAAATTTGCACATTGTATACAATGCGCTTCGGCTGGGGAATTTGCGAATTTTTTTTATTCCGAAATTCATACCAATTAGTATCACCGAGATTTTACTCTAGTAGGTTGTCTGCTAACCCCTGGACGTGTGACAAGGGTACCCTGCCAAGAATGAAAGTCAAGCATAACAAATAATAACCGTAAATAATAATCGCACATTTGTATTTTGAACAGATGATCTTATTTTTCGTTCTAAGCAGCGAACTCGAGCAAGTGCTCGAAGAGAAGTCAACGGAGAGCTCGATGCGTTGTGGGGTATCTGGCAAAGCTGGCGTGGTTACGAGCTGTGCCGTTCAGGTGCATAGTGGTGGCGTAGACGTGTTACCGCCTAGCCTTTTGAAACACCTGTGGGCTTTACGTGGACCAACGCGGACTAAGCAGACTAAGCGTCCATGTGTGAGATAAGTCATGTCAAGGTCATCGCGTTCAGGGCAAGATTACTCCAACAGTTGAGTATACCTCTAGGAAGCGGCGCTGCTCCGATGTTTTAGTGCAGCTACATAGCGGTTTTTGCTATGTCACGACTACGTTTCAAGATCCCCAACGAAGCTTCGGAGGCATCCACCAGGTGCACATTGAAAGACTGTATAATTAGCTTTAAATTTAGTTTTCTTGTGCCTTTCAACGAAAGTTTGTTGTTTTTGAGGTGATGCTGCAACATAGCCCACATCCAAGCTAGCAAATGAGCGCAGGAATTCCGTTTTCGTGCCCCTTTAAGATCTGCTGTAAGCTACTTTCTGGCATTTGTGTAGCTTCTTGTGGAAGCACACTTCTTCGAAAAGCACCAATTAATGCCTGGAGGAAATTAATTTCGGCTTTAAGAAAACTTTTTTGTTTTGCTTTGTTTATCTACTTATTTTTTCTTAGTGGGGAGAAAAATGCATCGGATTAAACATCAAAGCAGCATATTGAAGTAAAAGAGAAATGTGCAACAATGCAGGAACAAACACCTCATTGTTTTTAACAGCCCACGCTGTGAAAGGCATTCAATTCTATTGGCTTTTAGTTTCAGGGAAGAAAGGCAATGTAAACTGATCCTCTTAGCATTTGCATTTAATTTTTTTATGGTCATAATCTGCTTGCTGACATGTATATTGCAGGATTGAAATGCACCTTTCACGATGTATGCCTACTGTAGGGAGGTAAATGTTCTGAATTCATTTTAACCACCAATTTCTCTTCTTTCTTCAGGTGACTCCCAACCTAAGGATTACTTTGTTATGGAGATCTCAGATTGTTATATCAGATATGGGCATACTTATGATTACTGTCGTGAGTGTTCTAGAAGCAAACATCACTTTATGCAATAAGTAAAGAAATAATGGCTTGGAGACTTTTAGAAGGTTAACTAAAAACGCGCATTGCTCTAATATCCTGAGGGTAGCCTCACCTAAAATTGAGAAATTTGGTGAAAATGTAAGGTAGTCTACCTCGTAGAGTGCTACCAAAAAGGGTTATAAATATTGTAGCCAGGCCATGAATGGATGACCTTTCAAGGAATGTGAGATTGTTTTTATATAGAACTGCATTGTTCTTTGTGCTGTTCATGATGCTATTTTTAAATTCTGTGGCCTGTCTAAGCTGTTACCACAGTGAGGGATGACAACCAAATGTAGGCGGTTTCCATTGTTCATTGTCTACTTATCTACAGCTGGAGCTCCTATTTCTTACAAAGTCACTGGCCTAGCAGTGAGATTTATAGACATGGGCTACCTGTTTTGTGCTTAAAAGAATCTAACAAAAGCCAGGGTGGGCTGTCTATTGGGAGTGGAACATGAATCAGGATACTGCAGTACTTTTCTTTTTATGGTAATCTCTGAACACTGTAAATACTATGAAACTTTGAAGGTTTGTTAGGTGCCAGCTGCCATTTAACTACTTCCATTGAGACTAATTTACAATTGGTCTTCTTAAACTATGACCCTCCAGCCTGTATGTATGATGTTCTATATTGTTTGAAGTCTGAGCACTGCAAAAAATTATTACCCTGGATTTTCAATATTCCAGGCTGCTTTTGGCTACACCTGAGGGAGAAGAGGTACCGCCAGGCTGAAAGGGCAGCCCGGCACCAGAAGATACGGCGGTACCTGTCAGAAAAGCTGTCCGATCTCAGGAGAAATCGTTAAAAAGGTATGTGCGTCTATACTATAACTTATTTAATTAAGTAACATACTATTTTGGATCTCAAGTTTACAAGCAATTAATTTAAATGATGGTATAGATAAATTATTTAGGGGTTAATATATTGCTGCAAGCGCAGCTGACAAGGCAGGCAGCGCGCTCGTGGCCTAGCGTTTATCGCGCATGCCTTCCACGCAGAAAGCCAGGGTTCGATTCCTCTCCGCAAGGACGCTTTTTTTTGTTGACTCTAGCATAATGTTCTGGTAAATTCGAGAACCGTGTTGGGCTTGTTCGAGGTCAGAATGTTCTACACGCCGAACCTTCTACGCCGATTATTCCAGAAGCCCACGCGTGTACATAAGGGGCTCCGCACGGCGAGCCGCAGTTAGTCTCGCCCCAGCGTTCGACTCTGCTCCTACGCCGACTTCGACGCCCGCAACGCTCTGCTGTTATCTTCCGTTCCCTTTTAGTTTTGGGGTCAAGTTTGCCCCATTAAACGTTCAGTTTACTCAGTCATTCGCCGCTTCATCACTTGCCATTTGTGACAATATCTCTAAATGTTTATGCAAACAGCTTTAAAGTAGTGTGTTGATCAGCTGACCACCTGAAGAAGGCTGTGGGTTGCTTGGTCGCTACTGCCATCCCATCAGGCCGTGCTCACTCACTCCAAAAAGTTGCTCGTCACACAATTACAATGAAGCATGTCACTCTTACTGTTCCTTAGTCGTCTCTAGGCAGACTTAGACGTAGTTCAACTACTCAACTCAAACTACTGTAGTTTAACTACTTTTCCGAGTAACCTGGTAACTTTCAATTACAACTTCATTTGGGTAATTAGTAGTTTAATTTAACTACGTTTTTCAGGTAACTTCTACTCAAATTAGTAACTACTTTCGAAATCTAATCCTAATTTTTTTATAACAAATGTTTGAGCGCAGAAATAAATAAGACTGGCAGATGAAGTGGCATTCCCGAACAAGGGGCCCCCTCACATTGCGTTCCCACCCACTTATACTCGGCAGACGTAGAAACTGCATCACAGGCGTCCTTGGGTCAAGGTGGCGACGAGCAGCCAAAATATAACACAGGCGCACACGAACGCAGGCAGAGATGCTTAACAAGCCTTGGTCGGGTATTGACCTAATCCGGTAATGCACGTAGGCGCCACGCCTCCAGCTGCAACCGTGAAAGACGGGGACACTCTGAGGATTGTTATTGTTTTCATGTTGTGTGCCTTTAGTGAGTTCTGACTCAAGTGGTAGGCTCCACGGTAGGGGCCACTGGAATGACCTCGCAGCTGGGCGCCTGTTCTCATGGTCGCCTCATCGTCAGCGCATACTCCCTTCCGAAGCCGGACTCCCCCGCGCACAAATGCAAACACGGATAATCCGTTCATGGTAGCACGTTCCCGCTTCCTGCTTGGTCACGTAATCCTTCGCGTCCTTCCGACCTTCCACGCCAGGGAGACCTCCTCTTTGTTGAAAACGTTGTACTTGTTACCCTTGGGAGATCCTTTTCTTGGACCTAAAGTTAGCGGCGAAAAGCAATTTTTTTTTCTTTAGTGGCGTAGCATTAACATTGCAACGAGATGCGCAGTCTTTCAGATGATCCCATTGTCGTGGCGCGAGACTTGATCCCTTGACGGTCAGGTGCACTCGCTCGGCGAACTCTCCAAACGTCGTGAGAATAAAGAGGGGCCAGTCATAACAATCTCAACTTGCCAAATAAAAAAAAGGAAAAAGGAGGAGAGTTTGTTATAAAAGACCCTCTAGCCGAGGCAAGCCTCACACGCAGCCTGCTTCTGAAATTGAACGCTGCCTTTGCATCCAGCGCCACGGTGGAACGTCTTTTAGCTTGATTGGGGACGTCATTAGAAGGAAAAGGGGAAAACTCTGCGATAACAACGCTGAACGACAACTGCTTCTGCTAGCGAATAAACTATATTGGAAGTCATAAAATTACTGCATTTATTTCAGGCTCGCAGGGTTTTTTACTGCTCAAAACTGCAGTTCCTTATGCTGCCACAAAAATATAAAAAGTAACTTCGAAAGTAACTTCAAAGTAACTCGCTACTTTTTTGCAGTAGTTAGTAGTTTACTCAATTACTATTACAAATGCGTAATTTCTACTCTACTCCAACTACTTTGGCCTCGATACTCAGTAACCCAACTACCTTTTTTGAGTAATTTGTACATGTCTGTCTCTAGGCCCACGCTGCTGTTGACGTATGTCAATGGCCGTCCTGTGTTTGGTCTCTTTGCTGATCACTGAATTGCCCTTGATATGTCCAGGCTCATCCCTTTACTGCCTGTGCTCCCTCGATGCGCGGTCCCACCACGGACTGCCCATGCTGTTGCAGGTCTGCCATCACTTGCACCCCATGTTGTAGCCTTTTTACCCTTTCTTTATATTAATTTAGCTTAATTTATATATTGCAAATACTATTGAAATCGAACAAAGGTACTATTGCAGCCAATACAAGCTGAAATGCCACTACGCGTGGCACGCAATAATATGAGAGTAGTCTCTCAGATTGTTCAGCAAACCGCAGTATGCGCTGAGGTAGAGAGAAATCGCTTCTTGTGCTCGTTGCACCACTATGCCGTTCCGTGTCAATTTCCAGCTCATAGTGGCGCAATGAGTGCAAGAAGCAACCTGCCTAAACCTCAGCAAACACAGGTTCGCTGAAAAATCCAACAGGGGGCTGTGATAGTACCACATGCCATGCGTCATGGCGTTTCAACTAATATTGGTCACGATAGTACTTCCTCAAATGTTTCCGGTTTCTATGTACCACCTTGGCATTCCTCCCAGCGAAACAATGTATGATTTCATAACTTCATAATAAAATATCAAAGCAACGCAGTTTGTTTGATTTTCTTCTTATTAGTAGCTGCATTTGCCGTTCTCAAATGTCAGGCTGGCAATTACCAATGTGCAGTGGACAATATAAATCAATTCTAAGTGGGATATGCACCTCGTCATGCTCCAGACATGGCGTAATTAAGTTTCCACATTATGCATTCACATATTGTCATGCTTTGCACTCAACCATTTGTTTAAGTGGTGGCCACCTCGAACTGTTTCAAATTAGCCATGAAACCACCATAATCAAACCGTAAACAAAATGGACGTCCCAAAATATGACAGGTCATTCGACCGTCAGACCAACAAACCATCAGACGTCCCAAAATATGACTCCATCAGACCATCATGATTCTCCTGATGGTCTTTTTGATACATCATATTTGAGCTTGGTGAAATAGAGTACTTCAAATTTGTGAGAACTGAAGCCAATACTACGAGCGCCTGTCATGGAGATGAGAAGGAGCCTGATCTCGAAGCTCGACAAATAACAGGTAATAGTAATCGTCCTGGTAACTCTTGTTCAACATGTGATAACAAAGAAGCAGTATGCCTCTAATACCCCTGTCAGACGGGCACGTTAAATGAAATTTAAGCGAAATGGCACTGCTTAAAGTACTTTTTTTTACTGCTTTTTATACTTAAAAAACAGCTTGCATTGTGACACTCAGCATATTGTTTTGTGTGCTTACATGATGCTCAGCGTCACAGCACAGACTCTTTGTTTAGCTCTTCAAGATATTTTCATGACTGGCTCGCTCTCCCCACTGCTTTGCCGGAGAGTAGATGCACGGGATAGTTTGCGAATTTATACAGTGGCATAGCCAGCACCTTTTTTTTTGGGGGGGGGGGGAGACATGCGGAGATGCTTATGATTTGGTGAGGGATGGGGGCCACTTCAGCCCCATAAGCACGCCTCTCCTGGCTGCTCTGCAGCTCCCATAAAGGAGAATTTGGAACTCTCTATGGTTACATATCTGCTGAAACATTTTGTTAACTAAGACGTCTTCATTGCTTAAAAATGGGGAAGAAAGACACTTTAATTCTTGACCAAGAAATGTGAAAATTGTTTTTACATTACGCTGAATACTAGTTTTCGAACTGAACTTTATATAGAGAAGGATACCAAACAAAGTTTTCAACAGGGAGCCTTTCTTTCTGCTTCCCTTCCCCTCTCTCCGCAATGTCCTGTTTGCTACTCTAGAGTGCACAGTCCTGACAAAAAAAAAGCTTATTAATCGGACTTTTTGGAGAGGAGCTGGTGGAGCAGCTGGTTTGTTTCCACCATCTGATCCACCATTTTTTCTATCATCTCGGCCTGTTGAGTCATCAGCTGCCGCTGGTGGAGCCTGTCCTCTTCCTCCATGATGAGCTTTCGGTGGGCCAGCTCGCCATCTGTCGTCTGCCTTTCTCTCTCCAGGCTGACTCGTGCCTCTTCTAAGTCGATACGGCGATTTTCGATTTTCTGCTGCTCCTTTCTTAGCTTTTGCTCTTCAATCATGACACGGTTCTTGGCCTGAAACTTCATATCAAGAAACTCAAGCCCCCGGCTGAGGTTTCTTTTTCTACCTCCTGCACAGAACATAAAGCAATAAATTAATATTGACACATATACATAACTACAGCATTAAGGCATCTTGAGGGTGAATAACACATTATCTACACTCTGGCAGCAGAATTTATTTTAATCAAAACATTTTCAAACCCATACCTCTCATGGAGTATTGCTTAGACAATGCCCTGACTGATTTGTAAATGATTTGTTACATCATCGACTGTCACTCGTCTATCCGACAAAATCATTTCACGTGAACGTTCACTGTCATCATCAGCTGTGAATGCAGATGGGCGTCCGGCTCCTTGCTTATGGCTACTATTCCGTGTTTTCTGAGTTTATTATTAGCTAAAAATTCGGTGTCTATCAAAGTTTATAATTGTTAAATTTCCAATTTTTCGAAATTCGGGGTTTAAATTTCCTGTGTTTCAAATTTGTCAAACTTCAAAATTAAAATAAATAATTACTGGACAAAAACATACCCTAAGGTGATAAAATCTCCCAGAATCAAAATATATTTCTGCAGGGGCATTTGACAATAACACGCCCTTGCAATTGGGAGTACCAACTATCCCACGAGAACTTTTGCAAAATGTGTTGCTTCAATAATCATCAGTACTTTGAAATATCCAAACTCCTGAACGTACTCATTGGGAAGCTTAAAAGCTTCAGCTGCCGTTTTATACACTCTACAAGTTTTTTCACTGTTATAACAATACAGCCCTCTTCCTCTATCGAAGAACCACATGTAGTATAGTCCAAACTGGAATCTGGAAAAGTTACTTGTCACGACCCAAAAATACAATGACTTGTTGTACTCTACGAACCTTGACAGGATAAAAGTGGAACTTCATTTTGTTAATAACTCAAGATGAAAAAAAAATGAAGTGGCCTCATTTCAGAAGTGCCAACTCTGTGCTTGACGAACTTTATAAGTAAAATGTTGTCTTTTTTGCTTTTCATTTTGCCATCGTCACCTCAAAGTTGCGAGCTTTTAGGATAAATTCAAAAAGACAAAACTGTTCCAGCGAGCATTTGTCGAAGTTTTTAGGATATATTGCAAAAATAGGAACCCTACTTATGGCTGACAATTGTGCGTCCTTCATTAAACTTCTGTACCCATTCAACATACTTCGCAACGAAACATTTCCTTTGTGCACTGCCAAAGTATTCGATAAATATCTTCGCCAGACAGATCCTCAGATCACAAAAACTGTCTCCCCCGCTGGTGTGAACTAAGATTAAAGCAGTCACACTTTATCGCACCTCACACACAGCTGAATTGACTGTACACGTTCAAACCTACACAGCAGCAACTTGTGACACAGAAAGCTTGTATGAAAAGCACTGATAATAAGCTAGTGTGACCAGCAAAGTTTTAAGATAACCGAGGTGAGAATAATTTTTAATCACTTCTATAATACCAATGGGTACACCCTAAAACCGTAGATGGGTTGTTTAAAGAATATAATGTTTCGTATTACTATTCATGCAGAAAGCTGCGAGAATATGGGCTTCCGTAACAAACTGTCAAAAATTAAGGTGCACAATAATGTTCCTAAACCCATGAAACAGCTGTAGGCTGCCTTTCAAACAACAAAAATTGCCACATGGTAGTCCAGAGCTCTCAGAAATTCTATTTACCATATAGATTCGTATAGGGTATGTTTATATATGCCACACAATACCGAGCAAGTACCCACAGAAATGTTGGAGATAATCTTGAAAAACTGGGAGGTAGGTTTGACAAGAAAATTCCTAAAGGAAGACATGATAGGGGAAGTTTCACTGCTTCGCACCAGTGTGCTAGGAGAAGCGGCTGATATGGCGGAGTGTCATGGTTAGCTATAGCTAGTTTCTCCGTGTTTTCGGAGTTTATTTCTCGTGAAATTCGGAGGGTGTTTTTAGGAGTTTATTTTTTACCGAAAATTCGGTGTTTATCAGAGTTTATTTTTCGTAAACCCCCAATTTTCAGAAATTCTGAGATTAATTTCGCAGTGTTTCCCATCAAAAAATAATAACTAATAACCGGATGCAAACATATGCCAGATAAAAAATAAAACGCGCTTGTATCAATTAGGTAACATTTCTTCAGTTGAATTTGGCGTTGTTGTCATTGGAAATTCTAATTTGTCCCACGAAAAAGGTCGCACACAAGTGTGGCTTCGATCAACGTTGATAGCTTAAAATCAATAAACTGCCGGAAGTAGCCGCAAGAAGCTCGTAGTCATCCCATCAATCTATCCCGCGGCCGTGCAAGGTGGAGTGTAATAGAGAAGTTTCAACTGCCCCTCTTCCCTTTACAATCTCTATGGTCCATAGCTTTCACTGTTACCCCCAGAAACATACCCTCTGCTTTCTCTAAATCCCAAATCCCATGGCCCAAACTGAAAACCAAAAGAGTGGCTTTTGTCGTGACACGAATGGTACGATGACCTGTTTCACTGAACCAACCTTGACGAGGCAAGCCGTAAGACCACCTTTTGACAACGGTCCGAGGCTTCAAACATAATCAGGGTGTCATTTACCCAGGACCATTAATCCTGCGCTGCTCAAATTGTTAAAAAAAATATTTTTTTTGTTGCTGTTGGGGAGGGGGGGAGGGGACGGGAGGGGGGGGGGGGCTGGCATGGGCACATAACAATTGGGAGTTTATCGGATAAATCCGAATTGACAGAAATTTTACCGGCGGGTGTTTTTCGGAGTTTTTCGGATTTATCCGAAAACATGGAGCCCTAGCTATAGCCTATACTTCGTCTCACTAAGGCAGTGCAACATATCCCAACCTATTCAAAAGAAGTGAAAGGAGGAACAGGAGAGAAAGGCTGGGATTCCCAGCTTCTCTCCTGTTTTTTTTCCCCTCCTCTTGAACAGGTTCGGATACGCTGT